CCCCTGGTGGCTCAGCGGTTGAGCGTCTGCCTTTGGCTCAGGGCGTGATCCCGGGTCTGGGGATCGAGTCCCGCATCAGGCTCCCTGTGAGGAGACTGCTTCTCCCTCTGCCTGTGTCTCTGCTTCTCTCTGTGTCTCTCATGAATAAATAAATAAAATATTTTAAAAAAATAGAACAAATATCCATGTGCCCCCACAGAAGTCAAGATCTAGAAATTTACCAGAATCCCAAAAGCCTGCCAGCCAACCTTGCATACTTTTCAGATCAAACCTGCTCTCTACTCCTAGCTGTGATCACCCTCTTGGTTTTTATGTAATAAATCCCTTGCCTTTTACTTTTTAAATTTTTTAAAAAAGATTTTATTTATTTACCTGAGAGACAGAGGGAGGGGGGACAAGCAAACTTCCCGATGTGGGGCTTGATCTCAGGACCCCAAGATCACAACCTGTGCGAAAGTCAGATGCTTGACAGACTGTGCCACTAGGCACACTAATCCCTTGCCTTTTAAAAGTAAACCTAAGTATGTATACCTAAATGTAGTGTAGTTTAATTTTGCCTTTTGGAAAACTGTACATAAATGGAATATAACAAATCTATTCTGATATATGTGGCTTTTCATTTAACAGGATGATCTTAAGATTCATCCATGACATACAGGCTACTTCGGTCATTTCTATTGTATAGTAACTCATTTTATGAATATATTGCAATCATTCATCCTACTGTTGATAGACATTTGGTTTGTTTGTAGTTTGGGGCTATTATGAAATATGTAAGTATTTTATAATCTTGGGCACACTCTGTTGTTCAGCTCTGTTTGTCACTCACATATCATGTATGTGTCCTTTTGTTCATAGGCACATGCTTGTTGGCAGGACATATATCTAGGAGTGGATTTGTTGGGTCATAGAATGATTTTTTAAAAGACTTTAATGTGCAAACTGGAAACATGTACAAGAGTAGAAAGCTTCAAAAACTGAAAACATTTTGTTGATCTTTCCAGTGAGAGAAATCAGTTTGCTTTCCCTTCCTTTTTTCCCCTGGGGAATATTTCTAATCAAATACCATATGTCATGTCATTTTGCCCTTAAATAATGTAGTATCTATAACAGATAAGGATTTTAAAAGACTAGAGTCAGGGCACCTGGGTGGCTTAGTCAGTTAAGCATCTGCCTTTGGCTCAAGTCATGATCCCTGGGTCCTGGGATCCGGCCCCACGTCAGGCTGCCTGCTTCTCCCTCTTCCTCTGCTTCTCCTGCTTGTGCTTTCTCTATCTCTTTCTTTCTCTCAAATAAAAATAAAAATAAAATAAAATAAAATAAAATAAAATAAAATAAAATAAAAAGACTATAGCCACCATACCATTACAATTGACAACAATTTTTAAATATATTAGGGTTCTCCAAACAAACAGAACCAATAGGTTCTGTGGTTGTATGATTTATTGCAAGGTTATCGGCTTGCGTTATTGTGGAGGCTGAGAATTTGGAGTTGGAAAGGGTGGGGAAGATATATTTCTGATTAATTGGTAATTCTGTTGGCTGTTCCTATGGAAGAGTAGAATATTGACAGCTTAACTCACCCACATTTGCCACTTTAAAACCAAAGCAACTGCAGAGGGCCTTGAACAAGATACTGGGGACAGCAACTTTTCTGTCAAGATGTATTTTGCTAACTGAACTGCCCACATTGCCCTCCTAATAGCTGCCTCACCAGCCCCACAAGAAGACCATTTGTTCTTGGTGGCTGTAGACTATAAAGATATATCTGTATTTCCAAGATCTGATACTATTTCTTATTTTGTTCTTGCTGTTAATCATCAGAGGAATCTGACTGCACATCAGTTACCAGAGAGCTTTGTGAATAAATATGGATTCCTGCATTCTGCACCAGACTTTGTTAATCAGATGGCTTAATGCTGCAGTGACTTAACCCATATTAAAAGAAAAAAAAAATACCCAAGTGATTCTGACAGAGCAGTATCAGTTGTAGATTCATACTTGGGAAATAGTTACCTAGATGGTATTTGGAGCTAGGACAGCCATGAGATGGGAACGAGAGGGAAAAACACAGTTGCTCTATCTTCAGCATCCCAAGATTATGAGACATTCACACAGATCCCCTTTATCTAATAGCAAGTTTATCTAGTATCTTAGGGCGGGATGAAATACAGGAGAGATCCCCACTCTCCTATCTCTGGAATGTACATTCTGGAATGTGAGGACTTCCTGGATTAGAAAACAGTTTTCCTTGTTCAGATGCACTTAGAAATTTACTCTGGGTAGGGGTACCCAAGTGGCTCAGTTGGTTGAGTTCTGATTCTTGGTTTCTACTCAGGTCCTGATCTCAGGATTGTGAGATGGAGCCCCGCATTGGGCTCCACACTGGGCGTAGATCCTGCTTAAGATTCTCTTTTTCTCTCCCTCTGCCCTCCTCCCCGAACCACACACACAAAATTCACTCTGGGGGAGCTCATGGAGGAGAGAATCTGGTTTTCCTAGAGGGTCAATCCCAATGAGGCTGTAAAGCTGCGGAGGCAGCCAGACTCCCATTTCCTTGCTTTGTGTTCTGGCAGCCACAGGGTGGAGCTCAATTTCTAAGTTTGTTTTCTTTAGCACTTGAGACAAGCAAGGACACAAAAGACAGCCAAACAGGAATTGTTTACTTCTGCTTCCTTTTGACCCCCCAGCTCTCCCTGTCCTAATAAATCAAAATTTAGAGAACTGCAATGCCTCTATGAATGAGTTACCCTACTTGAGGAGTCCAGAAGCTATGAAGCTTCCTGGTACAAAGGAAAAGGAATCCAAATTTTACTGAAATATTAAAAAAAAAAAAAGTGGGATATAACAAACCTAAGGGCAAAAATGAATAAAAGATAAACATAAAGATTAGGGACACCTAGGTGGCTCAGTCAGTTAAGCATCTGACTCTTGATTTCGGCCCAGGCCATGATCTCAGGGTGGTGAGTTCAACCCCAGGTTGGGGTCCATGCTCAGTGGAGAGTATGCTTGAGATTTTCTTTCTCCCTCTGCTCCTTCCCTCATTCTCTCCCTCTAAAGTAAATAAATAAATCTTTTCTTAAAAAATGAAAATTAATACATTTGTGTAAAAGAAATACCCATGTACCAGCAACAAGTCAAGACATAGATCCTGATCACCATTCCAGAAGCCATCAGCTACAATATACTTTTTTTCCTGATCATTTTCCCTCCCTCCTTCCAACTGTAACCACCATCTTTTTTCTTTTTTAAGAATTTATTTATTTATTTATTTATTTATTTATTTATTTATTTATTCATGAGAGAGACACAGAGAGGGACAGAGAGACAGAGGCAGAAGGAGAAGCAGGCTCCCCACAGGCAGTCTGATGCAGAACTTGATCCCGGGACCCCAGGATCACGACCTGAGCCAAAGGCAGATGCTCAACCACTGAGTCACCCAGGTGCCCCTATAATCACTATCTTGATTATGGTAGTCAATTTATCACTTTCCTTTATAATTTTGCTACATAGTTACACATCTCTAAACTATATAGTTTAATTTAATTTAAAGGCTTCCATATATCCACCAAGAAAAGTTGTCTCCCTAAGAGATGTAGCAATGGGCATTAGAGCCCTAGCAATAAATAAGAGCAGGAAAATCAACTAAGTTATATGTAACCTTTATTTTACCCTACAGATAAACCTATACATATTGCAAAAGAACATGTGTGTACACAGCTATTCATAGCATTGTTTGTAACAACAAAAGGCTTCAAAACAATTAAGCCAAAGGGACAGAGAAGTGATTAGAAACAATTTAAATAGTCATTAATATGTAACTGATTAAATGTTTTGATACATCAATCCAGTGGAATACCATGCAAGCATTAAAAAGAATGAGGAAGCTCTTTATATGCTGATATGATATAACCATGGCCTGTTATTGCTTAGAATTTATTGCATCTAACTGAAAGGATGGCTGAGAAAAGTATTATTTTAGGTGGATGAATTTCAACCTACTTTTTGTAATAGAGGGGGATGAATATTGGGTTGGAAGCTGGCAGTCTGTACCACATCTTACCCTCTGTCCTCTCAACATCTCTGTATACTCTTCCAAGCAGAAGTAATCCCATCCTTCCCAAGGGTGGTAGTCCCAGTGTTTTATTTTTTAGTTTTAGATGCAATAAAGTCTATAAGTGTTTCTTTGTGATAAGCATTCCATAAAGTTATAAGAATCCTCACTTCCAGAGACCTAATATATAATGGTGCAATAGGAACTGGGCATACACAATGAAGACTTCCAATGAAGAACAGAAAACTAGGATGTAGCAGGTACTATTCTGTTGCAAATAACCAAGGCCAGTGAGCAGAATTCTAAGAACCCAGCTCTGACAGTGAAGCAAGTTTCTTTTTTTTTTTTAAATTTTTTTTATTATTTATTTACGATAGTGAGAGAGAGAGAGAGAGAGAGAGAGAGAGAGAGAGAGAGAGGCAGAGACACAGGCTCCATGCACTGGGAGCCCGACGTGGGATTCGATCCCGGGTCTCCAGGATCGCGCCCTGAGCCAAAGGCAGGCGCCAAACCACTGCGCCACCCAGGGATCCCTGAAGCAAGTTTCTTAATTAGCCTATTTGGAAGCACTGGTTCTATTGAGAAGATGTACACCATCCTTTGCGCCTGGCTTTGCACTCTTGCATTTCTTACTTGTTTCTTATTTTCTATGGCCACACCTTAGTTGGACATTTCTTGGGAACTAAAAAAGCATTTCTAGGAGTCAAAAATGCAAATGAAATGGGTACACTGCTGTGTGCTGGAAATGCAAAACTTTAGGGATGACATGAAAGAAAGGAGAAGGAAGATGACAGTAAAGCAGCATATTGAGTGAGGGACTTTTGATAACAGGACTATCTAATATTTAGTTTGAGTTCTTTCTTTTGCCAGTGCATCAGGAAAGTATGTTGCCTAGTAACATAATTTGTGAGTGATATTTGCAGAAAGAAAAAAAAAAAAGCTGAGTACTATCTTGGACTGACTTTTTTCCAAAAGAAAAGCACCAGGCAACATCCAAAGTGCTTTACTTGAAGCAGAAACTCAAAACCAGAGGTGTTCATAAAAACATAAACTACATGGGAATTTGTAAATATTGTAAACTGCAGTGAGAATTCCCTGGGTACTCTCAATTCATAAAATGAGGGTGAGAGGTCATTTTAGCTAGACATTAAAGGTTTTTACTTGACATTTAGATGACACTTTTGTTATTGATTCGTTAATTCAGTATTTATTGAGTATCCATCTGTCACTCATTAGGCACTATTTTACATATAGGTGTAGGGATCCATCAGTGAACATATGGACCAAAATCCCTGCCTTCAGATAGCTTAGTTATGTTACATCACTCCCATTATGTGAAGGAAACCATACCAAATACTATATACAGTTATTATACTGTTTTATGCCAATAGATTTGACAGTTTGGATGAAATGGCTAAATTCCTTGAAAGTCACCGTTTACCAAAATTGACAGAAGAGGAAATAGAAATAGTTATGGGACATAACTATTAAAGAAATTGAACTCATTGCTAAAAGCCTTCCCAGAAAGAAAACCCAAGGCCAATTGGCTTCACTGGTGAAAGTCTAAACATTTATGAAAGAAAAGAGTCAGAGGAATCTCTTCCCAGGTCTGTTTAGGAGGCCATTAGAAGTTTCGTGTAAAAGGTGATAGGGACACTAAGGGAAAGAAAATAGACCCATCTTTACATACACATAAATGCAGAAGTTCTAAACAAATCTAGTGAGATCATTTATAAATAGAACAAATACATCATGACTAAGTGTGGCTTATCCTATGACTGCAAGGGTAGTTTAACATGCAGAAATTAATCAGTGTAATGTGTAATAAAAGGATAATACTAAATGATCATCTTCATATACACATAAAATGCATGATATACAATCCAATAGCTATTCATGATTTTAAAAAAGAAAACTAAAACTAAGTACTAAAACTAAGAATACAAAGAAATTTCTATAATCTGATTAAAAACAGCTTTTTAAAAACCCTAAGCAAAATTTTAATGGTGAAATAAAAAACGTTTTCCCCCTACTATACTCTCTTAAGTAAACTTTACAAACACCCTATCACTTTCTTTTCTTTCTTGTACTCTTTGACAGGCTCCACTTATCCCAGGGTACAGGCTGAGGTCCAAAATCAAAATAACATCTATGTCACTTTTTCCCTCCCAAATCAAGGAACACCAAAGCATTTTTCAGGATGAGTGCTTCAGTATGACCCATGGTAATGTGAAGCTGAAAATGCGAGCACGGTAGGAGCATGCAGAGCTAAAAAATGGCTCTCAGCCCCCTCACATTGCCTGTAACTCTGCTTCTGCAGATGGTAAAGCAGATTTGGCTGTTGTGTCAGTGGTCTGGGTTACATCCTCACTAAGGGCCCTCTCCAGACTGGCAGGCAGGGAGTGGATCAGTCTCTCTCGGAAGTCTTGGCCCATGAAGACGTAGAGCATTGGGTTGAGGCAGCTGTTGAAGAAGGCCAGGGAGCTCGTTGGATTAACCAAGAGGTCAAGGATTTTGTACTTACCTTCAAACAACATCTCTTTGAGCCAGACTGTGCCTAAAAGGGCAATCAGTTGAAAGGGGAACCAACAGAGAAAGAAGGAAGCCACAACAGCAGTAAGGACCCGTAAGGGACGACTGGATTTAATCATGCCTTTTTTGTGTATCTTGGCAGCAATGAGCCCGTAGCAGATAGCAACGATGGACATTGGCATGCTGAAGCCAATGATAAACCGGATGATCCCTCTGGCTGTCAACATGGTGATGGCCACCTTCAACCTCTCTTCAATACTGTTGCCCCAGGATGCAAAACTGAAAGTACAGTATATATTCCCTGTTCCATCATTTACTGTAGTCAAGAAGATGAAAACTGGCAAGGTAAGGATTAGGGCAAGAATCCAAGGTCCAATGATCACTTTTGTAGCCAGGCTTACTGTACGGTGGTTCTGGGCCCAGACTGGATGCAGGACACAAATACAGCGGTCCAGGGCAATGAAAGCAATGAGGAAGACACTTCCAAACAGGTTTATGTCCACCACAATATGAACTGCCTTGCATAGGAACCAGCCAAAAGGCCACAGTTCTCTCATGGCCATTGAGACAATGAGGAATGGTAGGGTGACAGTGAAGGAGAAGTCAGCTAAGGCCAGGTTCAGGTAACAGATTGTGGTGACTGTGCGTGCCATCCGGAATCCAGCCACCCAGATCACAAGCCCATTGCCCAGAATGCCAAGGACAAAGGTGACCCCAAGCACCACCAATGGCAGGATATGCAGAACCTTGTAGCCAGCAGACTCATGGAGCATCTCTTCGGATCCATTCAGAGGGATGGAGAGGTTGTTTTCCATCTTGCCCACACCTGAAACATTTCAATTGCCATTTCTCATCCGTGGAACCATCTTATAGCATCCCTATTCATGGCCAACATTAACTTCTACTATAGCTCCCACTCCAGCCAGGAACCCCACTCTCCTGAAACTTGGCCAGTCATACTATAAAACTGGCACTCTCTTGCCTAATATGTTGGGAAAGGATAGTTCTCCATAGTCCCATAGTTACTCAGATGTATTCCACCTGTCAGGTTGCTTAATCAAGAGAATTACAAGGCTCTTATTCACTAGCAGAAAAGTACACTTACAGTATATAGATAAGAGAAAATTGATTGGCAGATACTTATGGCTCGGTGAGGGAAATGCTAGACTCAGAGTGAGTAGGTTCACTTCTGACCCATCATTCACTGCATAGATGTTGGCGAGCTCTGCAAAGCTCTTTCAGCCCCAGGTTCTCCCAGACTCCCAGCTCCCACTATGAGAACCCTTTGCCTGCTATTTGCTTAGTATTGACATTAAAGTTTTAGAATTTGGTTTGAGTTTATAATTGAGGATCTTTTTTTTTTTTATAATTGAGGATCTTGAACAGTTACGGTAATATGTAGAAACATATTACATCATGTGGATTCTACGCTGGAGGAAGTCAGCAAAGGGGGCCCTATCTCTACTTTCAACCCTCTGTTTTCTTTGCTTGATATAGAGCTCTTCTCTGGGATGTGAAGAAGTTTTGCCCATTGCGTAATGTTCATGTTCTGTGGGATAAGGAGTATGAGAGTAATAAAATTTGTTAGTAATATCTGTGGGGTTCTCATCAGAGACCATGCATTGTATTAATTGCTATATATGGGGATCTAGTTTGATCTACATAAAAAGCTATAGTGCTCGTTATTTCTGGTTTTCATAAGAATAAATTGATGTGGGCAGCCCCAGTGGCACAGCGGTTTAGCGCTGCCTTCGGCCCGAGGTGTAATCCTGGAGACCCGGGATCGATTCCCACGTCAGGTTCCCTGCATGGAGCCTGCTTCTCCCTCTGCCTATGTCTCTGCCTCTCTCTGTGTGTCTCTCATGAATAAATAAATAAAATCTTAAAAAAAATGTTTTTCCTGATCTTAAAAGTAAGAATGCCCCCCCCAAAAAGAAAAAGAATTTAAAAAAATGTAGTGTCTGCATCTGGACCAGGTCACATTTATAACTACTGCATCCAAATTCAACACAGAGGTCTGTGTGGCTCTCACCTCTATGCTACATTAACAGATTTCCTAATATTATGATCTGTTAACTGTATCAGAAATATCCAGGGTGGCTGGGGTGCCTGGCTGGCTCAGTCAGTGGAGCATGTGACTCTTGATCTCAAGGTTGTGAGTTCAAGCTCCACACTGGGTGTAGAGATTACTTAAAAATAAAATCTTAAAAAAAGAGAGAAATATCCAGTGTGGCTATTAATAGTGAATATTCATGAACCTCACCCTAGAATCTCTTTACATAAAAGCTAAGGTGGTCTTCTATGGCCTCAAAAATTTGAGAATCAATTTACCCTGACCTATTCAGCCTCCTTAAGAGAAATTGCAGTTACTAAGCACCTGTTAACATTTAATACTCATAATCATATTGCAAAGTGTTGGGGCACCTGGGTGGCTCAGTCAATTAAGTTCCTGACTCTTGATTTTGGCTCAGGTTAGGATTTCAGAGTCATGGCATGGAGCACCATGTCAGGCTCTGCACTCAGCAGGAAGTCCGCCTAAGATTCTTTATTTCCCTGTTCTGCCTCTCCCTGCCCCTCTCTCTAAAATAAATAAATAGGGGCACCTGGGTGTTTCAGTCAGTTAAGCATCCAAGTCTCAGTTTCAGCTCAGATCGTGATCTCAGGGTCATGAGATCGAGCCTCATGTCAGGCTGCATGCTCAGCAGAGTCTGTTTGAGATTCTCTCTCCCTCTCCCTCTGCCCCTCCCACTCATGCTCTTTCTCTCTCTCTAAAATCAATAAATCTTTAAAAAATGGGAATAAGGTGGGGGAATGGGGTAATTGGTTATGGGCACTAAGGAGGGTACTTGATGTAATGAGCACTGAGTATTATAAGCAACTGATGCATCACTAAATTCTACCCCTGAAACTAATAATACAGTATATGTTAACTAACTTGAATATAAATAAAATTAGATTAACATACTAATAATAATATTGCAAGGTATCTGTTATCATCCCTCTTTTTTTTTTTTACAATTTTATTTATTTATTCATGAAAGACACACAGAGAGAGGCAGAGACACAGGCAGAGGGAGAAGCAGGCTCCTGGCAGGGAGCCCGATGGCGGGATTCAATCCTGGGACCCTAGGATCACGCCCTGAGCTGAAGGCAGATGCTCAACCACTGAGCCACCCAGGAGTCCCAGGAATATTTTCCATGTGCCAAGAGCTCCTTTAGCCCTCACCACAAACCCTTGCATATGGCACTTAAGGATTGATGTATGCCAGCATTTGAGCTCAGCCAGACAGATTCCACCAGAATTGTCCCCTCGACTCTCTTCCACTTGCCAGACTTCCTTAACAGAGTCAAATTCTCTCTACCTACTCTCTAAGCACCTATGAGGCACTCAGAAGATATGGTGCGCTCAGTGATCTATAGATTTTGGTTTAAATATGCTGCTACAGGGACATCTGGGTGCCTCAGCATTTGAGCATCTGCCTTTTACTCAAGTTGTGATCCTGGAGTCCTGGGATTGAGTCCCACAATGGGCGCCCTGTGGGGAGACTGCTTATCCCTCTACCTATGTCTCTGCCTTTCTCTCTGTGTCTTTCATGAATAATAAATTAAAAAAATTTTTTAATGCTGCTACAATGAGGAAGGACAATCGTGCAATGACAGGAGGGGCAAGGCCAGTGAGGCAAAGTTGTAAACTCTGGGCCCATCCTAGTTGTAGTGTGGGAGAGAGAACCTGTGAACCACACATGATACTACTGTGGATTATGAAGGCTGCTATTTGGTGAGCTCCTCAAATGTGCCAGTCACTGTACATTTTATACTCTCCAGTTACAACACCCTTGTTTTGGGATAAGCATTATTGCCATGTAATATAAAAGGAAACCATGGCTCTGACAGGGGAAGTGACTGGCCAGGTGTCACAACTATTACAGGGGCACCACTAGATTTATGGCAATTTCAAATGGAAACTCAGCACTTCCGTGTTAGCTTACTCTACTTCTCTCTCTCTCTTTTTAAAGATTTTATTCATTCATGAGAAATACACACACAGAGAGAGAGAGGCAGAGACACAGGCAGAGGGAGAAGCAGGCTCCATACAGGGAGCCCGATGCAGGTCTTGGGCCTGGGACTCCAGGATCACACTCTGGGCTGAAGGCATGTGCTAAACCGCTGAGCCACCCAGGGATCCCCAGCTTACTCTACTTTTCTAGCGTATTTGCACTTCCAGATTTTGAAATAACTGTTTCAGTTCTCCTTTTTTCCTCTCTGGTTTTACCCGGTCTTTCCCCTCCTCATCCCCACTCTCAGCTGATGCCTTTGCCTCATATTATAATGGGAAGATGGTAACCACTAGAAATTTTTAGCCTGCCCTGCTCTAAACCTTCCAATCTACCTGCACCTGTTGTAGCAAATAAAGAGTTCTCATTCTCCCAGCAGCTACCCTCCTATATTTGCTCTGGATCCCTCTCTACCTCATCTTCCTGAAAACTTTCCTCTAGCATTATCCCTTTTCTTTTCTGCCAAAGACAAAAGCCCAAGATTTTCTTTCTACTGGGTCATTCTCACTATCCCATAAATGTTATCATCTCTTTTCCCTTTAAAAAGAAACCATCCTGGGGCCCCTGGCTTGCTCAGCGGATAGAGCATATGACTCTTGGCTTTGGGGTCATGAGTTCAAGCCCCACATTGGACACTGAATTTACTTTAAAAAATAAAAATTTAAAAATAAAAAGAAACCATCCTTGACCCATATTCCTTTCCAGCTTCAGCTCTATTTCTCTCAAGAGACTTCTTTCTGTGAAGAGGATTCTCAGCCAAACTTTAGAAGGGAGCCTCTCCACTCCTCACCTCCCATTTTCTCCTAAACATACTCCAGACTGACTTCACTGCTCAGAGCTCCACAGAATGTGCTCTCCTCAGGGATACCTGTGGTCTCCTCACTGCTGACTCCAGTGGTCCCTTCTCAGTCCTCATCCTGATACCTCAGTGACGTAGGACCCATTTGACCCCTTCCTGCTTCCTAAGACACATTTTTCCTATGCTTTGAGATGATAAAATGCATCCACAACACACTCTTGGTTGTTATTATAGCTCAATTGGCCACCTCTTCTCAGCCCAATTTCTTAGCTTTTTCTCCTCTAAATTTAACTTTTTTTATTTTTAAAGATTTTTTAAAAGATTGTATGTATTTAGAGAGAGAGAGAGCCTGCACATGCAAGCAGGGGAAGGGGGCAAAGGGAGAGGGAGGGAGAGAATCTTAAGCAGACTCCACACTGAGTGCGGATCCCCACTTGGGGCTCAATCTCACAACCCCCTGAGATCATGACCTGAGCCAAAATCAAGAGTCAGATGCTTAGCCAACAGCCACCGGGTGCCCCTTAAAGATTTTATTTTATTTTATTTTATTTTTTAAAGATTTTATTTTTATGTAATTTCCACACCCAATGTGAGGTTTAGACTCACAACCTCGAGATCAAAGAGTCCTGAGCTCCACCAAGCCAGGTGTCTCATTCCTGATAACTTCTAAGCTCCCTAAAACTCTAGTCTGATATACCCACCTGACTTCTTGACTAAAACAGATCCTTGATGTCTTTCCCTTATTGCCCAACTTAATCCAAGTCTGTCTTCTGTCTGCAAAGCAACTGAATCCACTCCCAGAATCATTTCCATTCCTTGTCCATGGCTCCCACTTCTGGCCTGCATATTTGGACCAACCTTGCAAATAGCTTGTTCCTGCTACAAATGCCTCCCCCTGAGTACCGCTCACCCAAAATCCATTCTCCAGACATTAGCCAAATGATCTTTTAAAAGATCATGATAAATCATGACCTTGTTCTGCTCAACATCCTCCAGTGGTTTCCAAAGTCCGGACTTCCAAACTCAAGTTTACCAAACACTCTTGGATCTGCACCATCTATCCTTTTGTGACCCAATTTCCAAAGTGTGAGGGAGTCCCCACATCAACAAACAATTTTTGAACATCAGCAGGTGTCTAAGAACTCAACTCCATTCTGACACTATCAGCTTGCACAGGTTAAAAGTTCAGTACTAAAAGATGCTCCCTGCACCTAGGGCAATTCAGATACTAGGTACAAGTCTGGGGTACCTGTGGTTCTGACTGACTGGCTGTAAATCAGAGGTTCCCACAACCTCTTCCTCGGATTCAATTCATCTGTTGCAGTGGCTCACAGAGCCCAGAGAAATATTTTATTTGCTAGATCACCAGTTTATTATAAAAGGATATCACTCAGGAACAGCAGATGAAAGAGATACATAGGGCCAGGTGTGGGGAATGGATGTGGAATTTTCATGTCCTCTTCAGGTGTGCTGCTCTCTCCATGTTTTCACCAACCCAGAAACTCTCTGAAGTCTGTCCTTTTGGGTTTTTATGGAGGCTTCATTACACAGGCATGATTGATTAACTCATTGGCTATTGGGGATTGAACTCAGTCTCTGTGGCTGATTTTCTCCCATCCTTAGGTGCTTTCTGAAAGTCACATCATTAACAAAAAAAGACACCTCTGCCACTCTCATCACTTAGGAAATTCCAAGAGTTTTAGGAACTCTGTGCCAGAAACAGAACGAAAACTTAAATATTTCTTTTTCTTTAAGATTTTATTTATTTATTTGAGAGAGAGAGCAGAAAGCACAAGTGGGGAGTGGTGGAGGGAGAGGGAGAAGCAGGCTCCCTGCTGAGCAGGTGCTGATGCCAATGCCAGGACTCAATGTCCTCCCAGGATCATGACCTGAGCCGAAGGCAGACACCCAACTGACTGAGCCACCTAGATGCCCCCCAACATCACACTCAATCATACTTCATACATCGCTCTAGTCTTACACAATGCATTCTATCCATTGAACTCCTTCGATTGCTTGAACATGCCAAGCTCATTGCCATCTTGAGGCTTCTGCATCCTCTGTTCCTCTGCCTATTATGCTCTTTCAAGCTTCCCACATTTGGCTCTTCAGTAAGAATGAGTTATTACATCTTCAGAGGCCCCACCTGGCCCATAATACAGGGCAGCTACTCCAGGCAGGCTTATTCTACCAGATATTCTTGTTTGTTTATCCATTCTTTCATTTCCTATTCTAAATATCCTCCACAATGGTGTAAACGCTAGAAGACTACCAAATTTTTTCAGTGCTAAATTTCTAGAGTAATTCTGTCCAAAGGAAACATACATGTGAGCCACATATGAGGCTTACCATTCTTTCTACAAAGTAAAAGAAATAGTGATAATATATTAATTTTAATAATATATCTCACCCAGTATATAAAAAAGAATATCATTAGAACAGGTAGCCAATATAAGAATTATCAGTGAGCTATTCTGCATTCTTTCTTCATGCTAAGTCTTTTGAATATACTAAATGTCTTTTACAGCACATCTCAGGTTGGACCAGTGAGAGCTCAATAACCATATATAGCAAGTGGATTCTAGATTGGATAGCCTAGCTCTGAAGGTTTAGGAGGTATCTGCCACCTAGCAGATGTTCAGATAGTAATTTTTGAAATTGTCAGGGTCCCAACTTACCACTGGCTGAGATCCTTTTTCTCTTGTTAGTTCCTGGCTTCTTGCAGAGTGACTCAAGTTGGGCAGACACTTTATTGAACAAAGGGGGAGGAGAGATGAAGCTGTAACCAATCAGGTGACAGAAACCCAGGGCTTCTTGCAACTTCCAGAAAACACCCTGAATATGTTGTCAGTGTACTCTCCTTGGAGACTGAAGTCTGAATATTCCCCTCACCTCCAGCCCTATTACAGGAGACAGGAATTGACCCCTCTAAATATCAAGAGTCAAGAAGTGTGGGTGTCCCAGCCCTTTCTCCTTAAGAGGTTCAGGAAAATGAAGGAAACAATTATTGAAGGTAGAAGAACTCAAGGCAAGCAGTAAAAAGCAGAGATAATGGTTAAGCAAAAACTTGTTTCTCTTTTCACACAGCACTTCTGACACCAAATGTGTAGTAAAGGGCTCCATCCTACAGCAAGACTGCCCCCATTTCAGATGCTACTTGCAAGTCCCTGGTTGTCACCTGCAGCTGACTGACCAGCTATAAATCAGGGGTCTCTGAGGCCCCCTCTTCAGGTCCAATAATTGGCTAGAGTGGCTCGACAAACTTAGGAAGCCAATTTGCTTTCGTTTACCATTTTATTATAAAGGATACAGCTCAAAACCAGCTGAAGCCAGCGTCCATCTTGTCAGTTCAGAAGAAAAAATGAACAGTAGAGTGTGTATTGCCCCCAGGCATGGCGGGACCAGCTGAGGAACTTGTAGGTATGCAACCCCACTAGCTTACAAGTAGTTAATTAGCACTACCCTAAAGGTGTAACCACCACATTTACTTAGATCTCTAACATAAAGAAAAATTTCCAATTCTCAGTCTCCTGAGTTGGAAAAGACCTCCAGATGATCAGATGAAGTGGTGCCAGAGCATCTGCTATCATGAACTCATGGGCCTCCAGTCAGCGGTTTTCAGCTTCTCAGGTGACTCCTGCCCCTAACTTTTGCCCTTTATCTTATTTTAAAGATTTGTTTGAGAGAGACAGAGTGCATGAGCAGGGTGGAGTAGGAGAGAAAGGATTTCAAACAGACTCCCTGCTGAGCAGGGAGCCCAACACAGGGCTCTATCCCATGACCCTGAGATTATGACCTGAGCTGAAATCAAGAGTCAGACACTTAACCAGTTGAGCCACCCAGGCATCTCAGATAAAGCCCCTCACTTGCAAGCCATCAGGGAGTTTGGGGCTAATCAGCATTAGGTCCCCATTCTCCTAGGAGGAGCCACATCAGTAAATAATCCTCCTTTCTGCACTGCCAAAGCTCAGTGTCGGTTTTTATTGGCTTGCTGCACGTCAGGTAGACAAACTCTCATTTGGGTTGGTTATATGGCCAAATTGAAGGGATACATAGGCAAAGTATATAGAGGTTGGATGTGTACACTTTCCATATCCTCTCTGAGGGCACCACCATCCCAACACCATGATGTGTTCGCTAACCCAGAAGCTCATCAAATCTTTCGTTCAGGAGTTTTTATAGAGCTTCATCTCCAAACCTCTCCCATCTTCCCTACCCCAAAATCTGTGTGTGAGGCTGAAAGTCCCAAAGCTTTAGTTACCTAGTCCTTCAGAGGCTATCATAGAGACCCCACTTAAGTCACTTTATTAGTATAAACTTTGGTATGATCAAAAAGAGCTCCTAAGATATAATAAAATATATCTTTATATATTTTATGTAAAATATGTATTTTTTCATTTATGTAAAAATGTGCTTATTTAAAATACATTTATATATTTTATCATTCAGGAAATTCCTGGGGTTTTAGGAGCCTGTGCCAGGAACTAGGGACAAAGACCAAATATATTTTATAAAACATAATGCTAAAAGAAATAGTGGGGGCACCTGGGTGGCTCAGTCTGTTGAGCATCCTACTTTTGATTTTGCCTCAGGTCACTATCTTGGGGTTGTGAGATCAATGTTCAACATGGGGGCTGCTTGGTATTCTCTCTCCCTCTTCCTCTGCCCTTCCACCCTCCACGCCATGCCCACCTGCTAGAGCTCTATCTCTCTGTAAAAAATAAATACAAATAAAAGGAATTGTAACCAGGAACACAGAGAGAGGTAAGGGAGATGTGTAAAAGAGGACCCTTCACCCAATACCATCATCAAGATCAATCCCCTAAACTTCTGCTCCTCAGGGAGATAACTTTGAGGCCACTGATCTGAAGAGATGGGTCCTATTGAGATTTTAAGCACCATCATACTGTTCTACAGAGTTATTCTCAAATCCAGTCACTACAACCATGGAGAAGAGTGAAAAGCCAGAAGACAAGAGTCTAAGAGAAAGAGATGAAAACAACTATTTTCTTTTTTCTCCCAGAATCACTATACCAATGGGATGTTTTCAGTTATACGTATAGCAAACATGTGAATCCCTTAAACCATGAAGAAATTTATTATTATAAAGGTTTGGAGTTTTGTTTTTAAAAAATAAAGATTTTATTAATTTATTCATGAGAGACACTGAGAGAGAGAGAGAGGCAGAGACACAGGCAGAGGGAGAAGCAGGATCCCTGTAAGGAGCCCAATCTGGGACTCAATCCTGGATCCCAGGATTACTCCCCGAGCTGAAGGCAGATGCTCAACCGATGAGCCATCCAGGCATCCCACCTTTCTCATTTTATAAGGGAGGAGAATCTGTCCTGGAGTCTCTGCAAACCTGCTTTTAACTTTTTACTGACAGAACTAAGTGACATAGCATTTCCAGACCAATACAAGGGAAAAAAAAAAAAGTCTTAATGAAGTTGCCCTGGTTGGCTTACAATGAAGGAAATTACTACCTGAATAAAATGGAATCCACTGATTAAGGAATACGGGTGGTAGATATTATACTGGTGTAGGCCTCCAAAGGAGTTCTTGCTTGCTGCCTCCAGGGAACACAGAAATTAATCAGACACAGGCTCTGACCAACTAGATGAAAAGATGAGATAATGAAGTGAAGTGCTTGTGTCCTGACTCAGGTCCTTGGGCCCCGCGAGCAACAGAAATTTACTAGAGGCCAAACAGGAATTCCAGGCAAGGCTTTTATTGGGGCTGATGCTCAAGCACAAGGGAAACAGCACAAAGGAAAGCTGGCTCTCTGAACAAAGGCTGGAGAAAGTTTTTAAAGAGACTGAGGTGGGAAAGAAGTGATTCAAAGCAGGTAGTTGGAGAGATATGGGATGTTGGCTCACTGGCGTAGCAAACAGAACATTCTTCATCATGCGTTGCATATTTCATTAATATGTTAAATCTCCATCGCTGGGAGTGTTTTTAATATTACAATCAGGAGGAGGGGCACCTGGATGGCTCAGTCCCTAGAGCACTTTAACTAGCTGCCTTTAGCACAGGTGATGATTTCAGGGTCCTGAGATGGAGCCCTGCGTTGGGCTTCCTGCTCAGCGGGGAGCCTGCTTCTCCCTCTCCCTCTGCCTGTTGCTCCCCTTGCTTGTGCTCTCTGGCTGTCTGTATCTCTCTGTCAAATAAATAAATAAAATCTTTAAAAAATATTATAATTAGGGGAAGTCGATGAAAGATTATTGCTGGGGTCCACTTTGGCACAGACTGGTTTGGTTTGTTCTTTGCTGATCTTTGTAGTCAAGTCTACCCTTTGGTAAGCATCCTGCTTCCACATTCCTGGAAGATATGCTACTCAAAGGGGCATAGGATTTCAGCTATCAAGGGATGTTGGGTTTCATGGTCAAGATTGAGGAGGACTCAAGTCCAGTCCCTGCTCTGTCTCATTTGGTCACAGTAGAGTAACAGTATACACAGTAATAGAAAGATGCCTGAGTTTTTATGAGATCCTCCAAAAGAAACAGTTAACTCAGAATGACAAGGCATAGTATCATTCAGAAAGAGGGTAACATCTAGGCTGGGTCTTAAAGACTCAGATAAAGAAGAGAAAGAAAATTGCATTCTAGGCAGAAGGGAGTGAAAATCTACATGAGAGAGGCCAAGAAATCCGTTAAATTGGTTATTGGAGCATAGGTGATGAGGCAAAGAGTGGTAAGTGATGCCAGAGGCCATCTCCTAGAGGGTCATGACTGCTACAAGGGCACCTGGGTGGCACAGTCGGTTGAGCATCCGATTCTTGGTTTTGGCTCAGATTGTGATCTCAGGGATGTGAGATTAAGCCCCACATCAGGTTCCATGCTCAGTGTAGAGTCTGCTTGAGATTATCTCTCCCTCTCCCTCTGCCCCTCCTGCTCATGCTCTCTAAATAAATAACTAAATAAATGTCTTTTAAAAAAATGAGCAGAGGACCTGAATAAACATTTCTCCACAGAAGCCATACAGATGGCCAACAGACACATGAGAAGACGCTCAACATCACTAATCATTAGGAAAATGCAAATCAAAACCACAAGAGATACTACCTCACCCTTTTCAAAATGCTAGAATCAAAAAGACAAATAACAAGTGTGATGAAGATGTAGAGAGAAAGAAATCCTCATGTTGGTGGAAATGTAAATTGGTACAGCCACTGTCAGAAACGATATAGAAGTTCCAGAAAAAATAAAAAATATAAATACTACATGATTCAGTAATTCCACTACTGGGTATTTATCCAAAGAAAACAAAACCATTAAAGTCATGTTTATTTTATTTTATTTTTTTAAGATTTTATTTATTCATGAGAGACACACAGAGAGAGGCAGACACAGGCAGAGGGAGAAGCAGGCTCCTCATAAGGAGCCCAATGTGGGACTCGATCTCAGGACTGGGATCATGTCCTGAGCTAAAGGCAGACGCTCAACCACTGAGCCACTCAGGTGTCCCCTAAAGTTGTGTTTAATTCTTTTTTAATTAAAAAGATAAGTGCACCCTTGGGATGCCTGGGTGGCTCAGCGATTGACCAGCTGTCTTTGGCTCAGGGCATGGTCCCGCAGTCCTGGAGTTGAGTCTCACATCGAGCTCCTTATGAGAACCTTGCTTTTCCCTCTGCCTACGTCTCTGCCTCTCTCTCTGTGTCTCTCATGAATAAATAAAATATTTTAAAAAACCATAAATACACCCTTATATTTATTGCAGTGTTATTCACAATAGCCAAGATATGGAAGCAACCAAAGTGTATCAATAGGTGAAT